TTTCCTTTTTCTGAGAACTCTTCCCTGAGTTTCCTTTTCTATCTCCATGGACTCAAAGATACCTGTGGGTCTCTCTTTTAGGGCTGCTGTAGGGCTTCTGGTGGTGTAGTACTGCTCCCGGAAAGCGTCAAGACGTGCACTATCAATCTTAGGAAGCTGCACTCGGCGTTGGGGTACTGTGTATCGAGCGACACTGGCTGGAGTGTGTCGGTTGATACCAGGGTCTTGGTGTCAATCGATGACAGGGATGGGCGGATGTGGGTGACGTGCTGCGAAGGCGGCGTGAGACATAATCTTGACGGAATTGCACTCACGAGGGTTTTCGTCTGAGTCTATTGATCGACACTCGTCAAAGTCTATCGATCGACGTACTAAAGACGATATCGATCGATGTTGAGCTGGTGATATCGATCGATATTAGTCGTAGGCGAAATCTCTTTCACTCTCATCATCAGATCTCTGAATCTCTTCTACTACCTCTTACCAAAATTCATCATCCAGGATGGCATTGATGTTCTGGTTGTGGGGAAACTCCTGCTTCTTAAGTGCTTCTCCTGTCTAAAACATTTGGGTCTCTAGCTTCTTCACATGGGTGCTGAGGGCATCTATCTTCGTGGTGAAGGTGGTGTAGACAGAATCGATCTTTCCATTGAAGTTTACCTCGAGCTTCTACTGACTCTCAAGTATCTTGTCTACCAACTCCTCCAGTTTAGTATCTTGGGTGGGTGGGTGTGGATTTGAGTAGAAGGCACTTCCATAGCGTCTGTTGGGGTTGCTGCTGCTGAAGTTGTTGGGTTTCTGGGGATTCTGGTTGAAGTTGCTTCTCTGGCCTGTGAAGTTTTTGTATCCTCCTTGGTTACCAGATCTCTAAAAACCAGCTCCACTAATCCAGTTGACATCTTCTTCAACAATGTCTGAATCTTCCACTGAACAGATCTGCTTGTTTAGGAGCTTCTGAATGTTGTCTAGCTGTGCTTGAACTTCATTGATGTACTCCTTCCCAATAGATGATGTAGTCTGCGTCACAGAGTTCTTTGTGCTGTTGCTGGAAGCCAAGTTATCAATTAGCTTGATAGCATTCTGTGGATTCCTGGTGGTGAAGTTGCCATCACTAGCTGTATCAAGGGCTCTCTTGAAATCTGGGCTGATGCCTCTGTAGAAAGTGCAGAGCAGTTGCACTTTGTTGAATCCGTGGTGTGGGCAGTCTCGCTGGTAGGATTTGAATCTGTTCCAAGTATCCTTGAATGACTCTTCAGAGTCTTGGGTGAATGTAGCAATTTTCTTCCTCCAGTTTTCAGCGCGTGAATCATCAAAGAAATTGCGCAGGAAGGCGTGCTTGATGTCACTCCAGGTGGTAAGGGAACCTGGTGGTAGTTGTCTCAGCCACTGCAAAGCTTCTCCAGATAGAGAGTACTTGAAAAGCTTGCAGAAAAGGTAGTCTTGAGGGACTCCTTTCGCTTTGACTAGGGTTACAAGATCCTCGAACCTCTCCAGATGGTCCATAGGATGCTCATGGGGCAAACCACAGAAAGGTATTTGTCCTACAAGTGTGTAGTACTGCGGCTTGAGCTCAAAATATCCTCTCTGAATAGCAGGAGGGAGGATGGCTGATCGGTTTGAATAGAACTGATCCGGACGGTTGTAGTCAGCCAAAGTTCTGGTCTCTTCTACAGGTTGAATGATGCATGTAGGTGCAGTGTCTTCTTCAGTAATGACCTCCTTCTGATCATTCAGCTTCTGACCTGCTGCATTTCGCAGGTGACCATCTTGATCACGTAGGTCTCCATTCTCATCGGGTATGAGAATCATAGGCGCTACCATGTCTCGCTGGTTAGTATCGATCGATGTAGGGTGAGGTGTATCGATCGATGTCAAGTGAAGGGTATCGGTCGACGAACGGTTGTTGATGTCGATCGATGAGGTGGTGTTGGTGTCGGTCAACGAACGGTTGTTGATCGTCGGTGGAAAGCGCGTATCGTTCGATAGAGAGGTGTTGGTATCGATCGATGTGGAGCGTAGGTCTTTGCGGATGCTACGTTTCAGATTGTTGGGATCTTCTGAGTACAAAAGTTGCTTGTCCTTGTTGCTTCTAGTACTGCCGGGCATGTACCTGAAAAAGACAAAAAGAAAAAGAAAAATTTTGTGTCAAAAGATGGAAAAATAAAAAGTAACAAATAACCTAGACTGAATCAGATTAAATCTAATAGTAATCTTAGTTCCCTGGCAACGGCGCCTAATTTGATATCACTCAAATGTTTAACCCTAAGGAGTGAATTACTCTCTCAAATAAGAGGTTTAATCGTAGTACTTAGGGATCGAATCCACGAGGAACTAGAGTCACAAAAGATATAATCCTAAGTGATTAAGCTAGGTTGATTAGGTTTAAAACAATAAATAAAAGTTGGTAGCAATGGTAAGTTGCTAAGGAAAATGGTTTTTGGGTTTTAAAACAATAAAATAAAGTAGTAAGATTCAAGGTTACTATTCAGAAAATCAGGATTATAAATCTATGGATGTCTTCACGAATTGCTTGCAAATATATGAGAACTTCAATCCTTAGACAAATCTATAGCTGTCGCTATTAGACTCGTCCATTGATCTGATTGTCGACAGTATCGATCGATGTTGCTATCGCAGTGTCGAATGATATGTTTTGTCGTCGATCGATAACTCTATAGGAGTATCCATCGATATAGCATCGGATCGAATTGAAACTGTGTTCACCCGAGAATTTCTATTAAACCGCCTATCGCACGTGCCTAATAGATTCTGAGCTTAGCCAAATGATTTCAGGATAATGACTATTAGATTAGTCACTCCATAATCATACCTCTAGGTAGCAAATCTAGAGTAAGCATTAGGGTTCATTTGGATAATGAATATAACAACTTAACACTCCATAGTTGGGGCTAATCCCTTATAACTATTTAAACCCTAAATCTAACAAATGAATCTACTCAGATATAGCCAAGAGATTCATAGCAAAAGAATAAGATGAAAAGAAAATACTTAATTGCTAAGTATAGAATAGAATACAAAAACTTAGATAAAACTCAATACTTTTCTGATTGTCTTTCTAGGGCACATAGGCATAACTATAAATATGAGTACAATTAGGTTAAAAACTCATCAGGGGCAATCTTGTAATTTGGTGAGAACTTGGGCTTCAAGTCGGCCAAGTAAATCTTGCTCATCACGCTTTGTATCGATCGATGGTACATGGTGTACATCGATCGATGGAGTATCTCGACTTCAACTTCTACGGAAGCGTCATCGATCGATTACACAAGGTGTGTATCGATATGTGTCTCTCATTGTCGGATCTTCATAGTCATCTTGGAAAACTCTCCTTTAAGCTCCATAAGGCACCTAAATCATCACTTTACTACAAAATGCTCATGAACCTGAAAACATACCTAATAGACTCAAAAACATAGATAATAACATAAAAACATATCAATACCATGACCCAAAATGGGTCAAAATCATGGTATATCAACCTTCCAAGCAGTGGTTGTCGTTGCTGCAATTTATTTTCTGCTTTACTGTTTTGCTAATGACTTTTGTCTCTCTTTTTTTTCCAATTTATAGATCCTTTTGTTTCAAAGACAACCTATGTTTGTTTGATAAGATTTATATTTTGGGTGTTTTTGTGCTCTAAATTCCTTTATTAAAAACTCCTATCTTCCTCTGTTCTTGATATCTATCTTATGTGTACTCACACACATAAGATGTTCTCATTCTTTTGACCCAAAAAAAAAAAAAAAAAATGTTCTCATTCTTTTGTTATTATGTATCCTGCTGTCTCCTTGGTAAAGAGGATTTTCCTTTCATGTCTCCTTTCTTTATATTCGAATTTATACACTTTTGTTTGGAAACATTTAAATTTGGACCTTTTGTGCAGTATATTAATATATTAAAAACTCCTTATAATATATGAACATTCCGTATGGTTTACAAATATATAAAAAAAAATATGCGGTGGAACTTATCGGTTGGGAAACATCAACAAGAAAATTGTACGGAGATGCTTATTTGAAAACATTACAAGCAATCCTCCTATACATTAAAAGAGAAGTCACTTGGACACGTGTCACTCATACATGCATTCTCAGAGAAATTCTGAGAATCTGATTGGTTGATTTTTTTCAATTTTCTTTGGTATTTTTTTTATTTTCGCCGTGCAAATGTTTTGACAATCGTATCTCAAATATTTGGTTACCTTAATTACTTGCCTTATATAATATCCGGGAACATTAATTAGAGAGCTAACATTAATTTTGGGAATCTTATATAATATTCGATAAATCGTATCTCAAATATTTGGTTACTTTAATTAGAGAGCTAACATTATATTCGATAACTTGCGAAACAAGCTGGAAATTAAATGCCAAAGATGTCAATCTCATACCATTAGGAAAGTAATTCAGTATATATTAACGATGTCATAATGTCTGTAAACCTAATGCAAGTCTCAAAAACATCTATTCAATGGTTAAAGCTACGAAAAATCGAGTGTCATCTATCAAGGATTTGAGACCGTGTAAGTGATCTGTGACGTTTTACAAAAAAGAAAAAGTACAGCTTTTAAAGTTTTAATTGGTGTGTTTGATGATCTTTAGATATCGAACCGTGAGTTTCTCATCCGGGTTTCGTATATGGAGATTTATAATGAAGAAATAAATGATCTTTTAGCTGTTGAGAATTAGAGACTGCAGATTCATGAGCATTTGGAGGTTGGTTTTGATTGAGCATATATATACATCTTTTAGTTTTGATTGATTTAACTCGCTTGTTTGTCTTTTATGTGCAGCGTGGAGTGTTTGTTGCTGGTCTTAAGGAAGAGATTGTAGTGACGCTGAACAGATTCTAAAGCTTTTAGATTCTGGAGAAGGTTTTTAAGCCAAAGCTAAACTAAGAAGTATTTTGATTATGCATAATGTGTATTTGACATGGTCTTCTTTTAATTAACAGTTAATAGGCACTTTGGTGAGACAAACATGAATGTTCACAGTAGCAGGTCTCATACCATCTTCAGAATGGTAAGGGATTTCAAAGCTATGAACGGAAACTTCTACTGTTTTGTAAGTGGTTATTCTGATCTGATCTTTCTGGTGGGATAGGTGATTGAGAGCAGGGGAAAAGAAAACTCTTCTACGAATGCTATCCGTGTCTCAGTCTTGGTGAGTGATAATTTTCTCTTCTTGAGGAAGCTACATTATGTAGAAAGGTAATTGAGTGATAAGTCTCTTACTGGTGTTCTTTTAATGGAATTTAGAATTTGGTTGACTTGGCTGGATCCGAGCGTATTGCTAAAACCGGTGCTGGTGGAGTGCGCTTGACAGAAGGGAAGTACATTAATAAGAGCTTAATGATTCTTGGTAATGTTATCAATAAGCTAAGTGAAAGTTCAAAGCTAAGGTACTCTCTTACTCTTTCATATAGCTACAAGTAACAACAATACAGCTGAAGCTCATTTCTTACATTCTTCTTTGGGAATGATTCTAACGACACGATAAGGCATTGTCAGATGAAAATGTTTCTCGACTTGGCACTGAGATGCTGCGAGGAGAGGAATGAAGACAGGCCAAAGATGATCTCGGTAGCAAAAGAGATTAAGCTCATAGAAAAAGGATCACTCGATTGTTCAGAGGGTGGTCACATTTAACATCTAAGATTCTTCCTATACTGAGGTTGTGCATTGCTAGATTTCTTTTACCTTTTATAGTGTATGTTTTTTTTCCAGTAAAACTTCAATTTGATTAAGAAAGACTTTTGAGTGTAAATAAAGCTGTATTTTGGTTCTGAAAGCAAGTAGTTATCGTTTCTAGAAAATATTGAGTTTATTGTAGATGAAAGAGCTTCTGAGATGCTAAAACCAGAAACAGAGGAAGGTTTTCAAACGTAGAGATAGACAATATTGGATTTGGAGCTTTATGTGGGAACCTGAACTTTGAATCCAATGTGAACACAAAATGATCCTGAGAGTCAACTCTTTTTCTTTGGCCTACAAAAGTATGAACACGCTTCTGTTGACTAAACCCACTTTATTCGGTAAATAAACTCAAGTCTAATACATTATACAGTTTTGATATGACTCGTTCTCTTATTCTGCAGCATTCATGACAGTCTAATACGCCGTGACAGTAAGCAAGAGCGCCATGAATGCTTCCGTACCGTGACAGTAAGCTCATTTCTTACATTCTTCTTGGTGGTAATGCGAAGACTTGCATTATATGCACTATCGCACCCGAAGAGGTAAAAGAAGTTTTCTTTTTGTCAGGTTTTGCACTTTCCTGGCTTTTGTCAATCATCCACATACAAGCTTACTCAATCGACTTATCAAATTTGCATGCTCATGTGTAGCATCATATTGAGGAATCAAAAGGAACTCTCCAATTTGCAAGCAGGGCCAACCGCATCACCAACTGTGCTCAAGTCAATGAGGTCAGCATGTAAATGGGCGCAAGATTCTTAGGAGAGATTTAACTCACTTATATCTATGTGTCCTGTTGGCTGGTTTTCTTCTTTATTCGTCTGACATTTTTTTAGCTTCAGATCTTGACTGATGCTGCTTTGTTGAAACGCCAAAAATCAGAGATAGAAGAGCTACGTATGAAGCTCGAGGTATCATCAATAATTTGTTTCAAAATACATTTAGGATTGTGGGCTATACTAACATTACTAAATTTTCTAGGGATCCCATGCTGAAGTGTTGGAACAAGAGATACTAAAGTTAAGCAATCAGATGCTTAAGGTAGCTTTTTTGCGCTTTTCTCATGTGTATGTATTCGATAGAACATTGAGCAAGCACAAAATACTAAACAACGACCTTTTTGTTTGATTTCCAGTATGAGCTAAAATGTGAAAGGCTAAAGACACAACTGGAAGAAGAGAGAAGAAAACAGAAGGAGCAGGAGCAATGCATCAAGGATTAACAGTTGAAAATTGAGAACTTAAACAGTCTTGTCACTAATTCAGACTTTAAGACGAACAAATCAGAGGTACATATGCATGCATTGGTTTAAACAGATCGTCTGCATGAATGATCCTCAACCATTACACCCTAACATTTTTCTGAAGTAAACACAATCCTTGATTTTGTTATAGAAGTTAGTATTGCTATTAAGCTAATGTGTTAGAGTTATGTTCTCTGATAATGTAAAGTTCTTGTCAAGGTAACATCTTTATTGGCAGGACTTTGTTAGTTTAAGAAGGAAGCCAGATGGGCGATGCAATGTCAGTGATAGCAGCGATGTTCTTGGGACTCCTTTCTTTAAATCAGCTGAACGTTCCTTTGTGGTTGCTCGGTCAAATTATTCAGGACTGTCTGATTTTAGTCCGATGGTTGATTCACTGGGGGACGTGGCCGACGAAGACACTTGGACAAAACTAAACAAGGTTTTGTCGCAGACCTTGATCAACTCCAGTTTACACCTGCATATAAAAGGCAAACCACTCCATTTACTGCTGCAACCGCGGTGAGTAGATACGTTTACTTCACTCCTTTAATCTTCCAATAGTACAGAATCACATTGAACAGAGACTTTTGGATGCATATGGTCAAACCAACTCTCATTCTTCTTTTGTTGATATTGTTTTTGTTATTTTACATCATTAAGCTTTTACATATACATATTTCATCAGAGCTGACATTTCTTTTGGTTTATATGCATATGCCCTATTATAACGATTTCACCACGATGCAAGAAATTTTTTTATCTTTCTATATGATTTGATTAATCGTAGATCTATTTGAATTCTAATTCTTACTTTTTTAAATATGTTCATAAGTATTATATTTATATTTAATGATTGTTTGTTAGAGCTTAGAAGGAGAAAAATGCTTTCCTATAAATTCATATATGCAAATTATATATTTCTTTTTTGTCATCTTTTTTTTTGTCATCATAAACTATATAGTTCTATGTCAATTATAATATAACTTTATACAATTTATCACATAATAAATTATGTATATAATTCAGAGTTAGAATATGATATGTGTAACATTTTTTGTATATATTTCTAATACTAATGTTAGAATTAAATCGGTTAAATACAAATTTCTAAATTAAATATAAGTGATAAAACATAATTATTATATATTTCTATAGATTTAGAATATATCAAAATCTAAACTATTTATTATTCTTTAATTTTATAACCATATTATGGTATTAGGAAAGATATACCTTGTTGGTAAAGGCTTTTAATTTGTTAATTTGTTTATTAATAACTTGTCTTATTTTATGATTACCTTATTTTGACATCAGTTACTTGTCTTAAATGGTATGTTAATTATTGCAAATTTATGACAGTCAATTTTTAATATATTTCTTTAATTGCTTCATGTTTATTAAAAGGAAACAAATATTACAAGAACCATAAGACTTTATATATCTCAAGAAATGTCTTTACAAGAATTTTTATAACAAATATTTCAGGAACCATAAGACTTAATGATAAAATATGATTATTAATTCATAATTATTCTTTAAATTTGATATATTCTGAATTTTTTATTATATATACTTCTAAACGAAATAATCTTTTTATGAAGTATTTTTTTAAATATAAATTTAATTGACAAATTTAAAAGTTAAATTTTTGTGAAAATATATGTCTATTAAGTAAATATCTTGTTCTTTTATGATGTCATTTATTAGTAACTATATACATGTGATAGTGCATTAAATGTGTTCTTTATTTCCTAATTAGTTAATTCCGAAATATGATGATTACCTTAATTTGCTATCAATTACTTGCACAAATTTATATGATAATGGTGATTTGAGTTAGAAAAGCCCAAAACTATTATCCATTTAGAAAACCACAAATATAATAGTGATTTGAGATTTAGAAAAGCCAAAACTATTATCTTAATTATATTTATATATATATATGGATCTTAAAAATATGGATCTTAAAAATGTAATTTACTATATATATACATTTGTTTGTTTTTCTATTAACAGATAAATAACACATATGAAAGATCGTTTGTAGTTGATTACAAACCATTTTTCAGTTTGTTTCAATAGAGATATGCAAATTCAATATTATTTTCGTCTCGATAAAATTTAGAAATCTATTAAATTATTTTATATTGTATAATTGCTATAAAAAATTGACAATTTTTTGCAGGTTTCTATGAGATTTTTTTAATTCATAATTGTTCTTCTTATTTTATATTTCTTATATATTTAAATTTTTATCACATTTTCTATGGGATTGTGATATCTATGAGATTTTTATCCCATTTTTTAATATGTCACTGTCTCCTGTATATTTTTCTTACATTTGCTTTTTTTAATAGTTAACTTTTATTAAAAACATACTAATGATGTTAATTTTTTTTTTTACTTTAGTTAACTTTTATTTGTTTTATTCTTATATACTTTTGTGACTTTTTTAGTTTTTGTTTCAGTTTAATATTGAATTTAGTTCACATACTTTATGTGTATATATTTTAAAACATAATTTTTCTTTTAAAAAATTAAGCGACAAAGAGCGTAATTAAACCGATACAAAAATAAACCGAACTAAATATAAATTGAACTGGACATAAACCACACCGAACCAGACTAAATAAGGTTTATTTCAGTTGAAAAAAATATATTAAACTGAACTAAACAAACCAAACCGAAAAATTAATGATTTGCCCACCCTTACTGCATCCTAGAGATTTCCGCAAATCTTGTCTCAGCATTGAAACTCTCACTTGTTCCACTAACTCCCACATTTGAACTCAATAGATACTCCTATCTCAACATTATACTATATTTTTATACCCGCACAGGGTGCGGGTGGGTCACCTAGTCTATATAATAATGATTCACTTTTGAAGCTCCTAAGGCTATCCACGTCAGCATTTAAATAGGCCCCACGTATTTAAATTTTAAAAGCTTATAGTGTTTTTAAAATGACTATGAACAATGAATACACTTTATCAAAGTGGTATACGGCATCTAATTAAGTCTGCAAGTGTGTGGGTTCAAACCACGCAGCTGTTATGTATTTTAGTTTTTTCGTTTGAATTATTATCATATGAGTTTTTTAGTTTTAATGTTTTAATGTTTTTTTTCCTCTGGACTTATTGTTTAAAGCCCAAAATAGTGGAAAAATCCTAAAGTTTGACGAACTCAAACCCAAAAATTAATGGATCAAAAAACAAACATCAAAAAAAAAAAAAAAAAAAAA